AAGCAGATAACCCATGACTTCTTAAAAACTGTAAAATATAATTTGTGAATATTTTCCGTTATACGATAACACGAAGAAAATGATTTCCTATACGAAACATATGATCAGCGCTGTTATTGCCCGCCATGCATCCATCTTATTCCTTACAATTAATTTTCCTTTTTCAAAGAAAGTTTGATTTCAGTAAAATGTACTATTTACAATGTGTCATTTTATTTTGCTCGTTTTTTATGCAAATATTCAAATTCAGATAGATATTGCGTTAAGTTCAGAAAGCCAACTAGTCTCCAAGTGGTAAGATAGCTCAGCACCGGTAAATTCTAGCGGCTGCATGGGAGGTTTAGGGGTTTTTCATAAGTACAATTGATTGTTAATTAACAGTTTGTTTCCCGCCAAAAAAAATCTACCCTGAAGACTTCCTTTCCCTTAGACAAACAGGTCCTGTGTGCTTTATCATAATCCAAAATCTTAAGCGTAAAAAACTTTTATCATAGCCGTTGATGACGATAACATATTTTCTATCTGATGTGTCAAGTTAGCATAATTGTATATTTCTAACGAAAATTGTTTGGCTGATGTTACCCTATAATGAAAAAAAGATTCAAATCGGTTTTTAGCTTAAACAGTATTTTCATTATTAATTATATCACGAATTTTATCAATAGTATTCTTAGTATTAATTGCAGGCATGTATTCAAGAATATAATATACACAAAGTGTCTAATGATTACGGCTAGTTTTTATATAAAATTTTATATTATAAAAATTTAGGTTCATAGGTCAGCCATATTTGAAAGAGTACTTGTGTATTATAAGAAAAGAGAGAGAGAAATTTAGGAATCAAAAAATTTACCACGAAGTAATATAAAAATGCAATAGAATACAAAAGAGTACAATACTATTTCATGTTTTGTGGATATATTTGAAGACAGAAACATGTTTCAGCTATATTCGTTCATCGGAGAAAAACTTTCCATATGAAGCTATTTTTTTCAAATCTTTCACTATACAAGTAATACAAAAGCAGTATAGGAATTTCTTTTCTTAATACCAAACCTAAGAGCTGAGGGGACGTACAATGATTAACATACAATGGGTGCCTTGAATTATTTTGCTTTACATGCAGTTTCCTTATATATGTAAAATAAAATAAATTTTCACCCATTCCAAGATTTCAAGAACTCACAGAGAGAGAGAGAAATATTTACAACAAATTTTATTGCTGTTTGAATGATTGCTTCGGGAACAATAAGTCTTGAAACTCAAGCTTTCACGCTTCAAGCTATTCAAATACGAACGCTTTTCAGCAAAGCCATTTGGACCGCATCTGCTTTGTTAAAGAAAACCTTTTTGGGGTAAAATCATCCACTTCATCGGGTTTTTCAAACAAAGCAGTCAGTGGTCCTATTACAACCTGCTGACCTAGAGAAATTTCTCCGAAACTTTTGTTAAAAAAAAACGAGTTTTATATTTTAAGAATTTTCCATTCTGACAGCAAGATTTTGTTATTTTTCACATATAGATGAAAAGAAACTATTTGTTTTTAATAAAGAAGAAAAAAAATTAATAAGCTTATTTAAATTTTTTACACAGCACCGAGTAAGGAGACGAAATTTAATTTTCTTTATAAATACTTTTCTCAGACAATACTTTAGTGTTTTTCAAATTACGAGAATAGCGCGTTAGTGCATGCACTTTCAAACCAGATTTATTTAATTAATATATATGGATATGCTGAACAAGCACACTTTCGCACACATACACTGTATATTAGTACATACATAAAAATAAAATGAAATAAAATTTGAAAACAAGCAATTTAAAAACTACTGTATTGAAAAAATTATTGAAATTTGTTTTTACCTCATTTTTTTTTCGTTATATACATTTACTTCATTTTTTTATATGCATTTACTTAATTTTATTTTCTTATATGCATTTACTTAATTTTATTTTGTTATATGCATTTGTTAGTCTTTTTGAAAAATTTTTAGATTTTTTGAGTATGGCAAAGGAAACGAGATCTATCAGCCGAAGGCAATGAATGTCTCCATGGACAACTTTCTAAGTAAAACGTACTCATGTTCATGTTACACATACGGGAAATCACAAAATTCAACCAGTTCGTTTGTTTGGGTTCGAATACAAGTCGAAATAGCGATAATCAGATATCTTAGCCAGGAGGCCATTGATTGGGTTTGACAGATTTGGAAACGTAATAAATAGTATTTAATAAATATAATATTATTAAACGAATCGAATTTATATAAACCAAATAAAATTCTTATATCGAACACAACTAAAACTCGATATAACTTACACTGATAAACTGATGTGTATAACACTGATAAATTGAAATACTAAACGGAATATACATTAATTCTACATAGATAATTTTTTGTAATTGTATTTCGCTGGGAATGTCTGGCCGCAAAATCCTGATATATATATACCCTTATTTTAAGGTTATCACATATCTGATGGTTTGACTTTTACCTCAAAACACAAAGAATCCACAAAAATTCAGTAAAATTAATAACTTTATTTCCCTGTTAAAAATTCTCTGAATCTTTTCAAATATAAAAGCACACGTGCCAAACAGTTTGCTTTAAATAAATACATGCAGCAACGAGAGGATGCGCTTTTGATAGCAACTCGTTTCGAAAATCGAAAATTTTTCTAAATGTAACAGATTTGTCGCTTAAATTAATTTTTCATTAAACAAAAAAACAAAATAGAATCGCATATTATTAAAAGAATTTTATTGATAATTCAGATTCTGAAAACAAGAACCATTGTTGTTATAAAAAAACAAAGAAAAAAATAACAACATATTTCATTCAACGGGGGCCAACTTGTGGCGCATGAACTTTTCAACATAAAATATTTGAAGCATGTTATGGATAAAGGTTTATTTGATTATGGCAAAGTACTCGATGGTTATTTGCCTTAAGGTGAAGGATGCCTTCGTTCGAGGACTGCCTAACGGATATTGGCTTGAATACATGTTACAAATAAGGAAAACTAAGAATGTCATCCTGGCAACCAGCCCTGTTTGCCGGGATTCGAACCCCAGACATGAACCTACCAGTTGTTCCGTTAGACTCCGCTCAGTCGCTGGTGGGCTGTCTGATAACGACTAAGTTCAAAATTTCATATTAGAGGAAAAGTGGTAGCATAGTATAATACAAAGTTATTGCCATTTCAGTAATATGAAGAGATTTCAAGAATGTTTAATTAATTTATTTAGCTTATGACAAACTAAATAAAATAATTAAACATTCTTGAAATCGCTTCTCTTAACATACTGGTAGTTTGACCTGCATTCAAACCCCGTGAACAGCTGATTGCATGGGCGTTTTTATGGTTTTAACTTTTTGTAGTGCGAGATTGTTTCCCTTTAGAAAATCATGGTCACGAAAGCATACCTCCCCTTAGGCAGATCACCTTACGCGTGCTTAATAATCTAACAAGCCAAACCTAAACACAACCCGAGGGAGGATTCGTAGTCAAGGCACGTCATCATGAAAAGCCTAACTGAAATTGGCTCATATTCACATTAAACATGGGCAGCAAAAATTCACAAAAACTGGTATGCAGGCAATCCATTCACCTGCTTCTGTATCTGAACCCGCTTCAAACTATTAGTATTCAACGATTTTACTGCTACTGTCGTTGGCAGCCTTTTGTAGTATCTGTATGAAAAATAATTGCAAAGACACAATCATTGCATACCGACGGATAAATTAAGTTCGGAACTTAAAGAATAACTTTCATTTCGTGCTATTGCTGTTAGCATTGACATTTGGACAGATGTTTAATTTATTTTAAATTCTTTTAATGTAATTAATTTCATATCTTTAAATAATTGATCTTCTGACTGTAAATTTTTGTGCAGAGTAGATCTAACCCTATGTACACTAACTGTTTAATTAATTTACTCCATTAATTTTAAGAGATTTTATATCGATAGATTTCTTTAAAAAATGTTTCAAGGATTACATTTTTTTCTTTAGATTTCAAACATTTTGGATTTAAAGTCTTAATAATAAAATTTTTAAAACAAATATTTCTAGAAATTCATTCGGCGTATTCATTTATTCCATTTAGTTGAAGTTTCGAGTAGAATATCTTCCTTTCAACATTCATAAAATTTTTATATGTCAGTTCGCCATTTCTACTGAGCATAGAGACACACATACGAGTACAAAACTCAGGCATGCTGAAAGCACAGTTTTAACATTTAAGGATGTAAAAAGAAGAATATACCATTATAATAACGCGCATTTGAAATACGAAGGCAAACAAGAAAGCTGGTTGCAACATTTGATATTTTTTTCCTGACAAATCAGAAATTGTAATCATTTTTCAATACAAAAATAAAATATTTGATTCTATAACACATAGGCATAAAGGCGTCCTCCGTTACAATTCTATTTTTCTTGTTTCTACTAAAATTCGGCAATGTACTATAACAACGTCGGATCCTGTTTGACTTTCATTTGTATAAAGTACCACAAGGCAAACAGTTGTAAAACGATTTATCTTCTTTCGTAAACTTTTAGTCGGTACACAGATAATACATACCTGCTGTCTGACAAAGATATTTCACTCTAAGGACTTTTTCCTAAAGTGCTCTTTTCAAAGACACTTCACACCCTATTAAGACCTTTGTGTCAACTGACAGCCGCCTGCAGAAAGGTAGGGGAAGGAAGACCAGATTGCGTTGTCTAAACACGTCTTAAGCAATCTTCGCGAAATTCGGGCTTCGTGTATACACGTCTTAAGCATTTTTCGTGCGATTTGAAATTCGTGTAAAGACGTCTTAAGCATTTTTAAAGAAATTCCAAAAACGTTTAAACACGTCTTAAGCAGTTAAAGGGTTAATAATTATACTAGCCTTAAATCAACACAATCAAAAATTTTATACAGTACAAACAATACATACTATACAAACTGAGCAGAGACTTCAGAAAGAAATATAAAACAAAATAGATTACCTTCAGAAGCATTGCTGCCAGATGCCGAGCTTCCATTAACACGGTAAGAATCATCATATTTATCTTTATATTTTCTTTTCTCTAGTTTTTAAAACACAATAATTATGAAAGAAAAAAATTCAAGTAAAAAATCAGCACTGCCATTATAAAATAGTTTCTTTTCTCTAGGTAAATATATTATAAAATAATAAAACTCTCAAGTAAAAAATATGCATTGAAATTACTCATTTAAACTATATAAAACTTTTTAATGTTTTAAAAAAAGAAAAGACAAGTCATCAGAATTTGAAGTCATCAGAATTAACTTAATTTTTAATTGAAAACCTCCTGTAAATGCTTCATAGGTATTGCCATTAATCATGTGCAGGATATTTATTGAAATGAAGGAAACGCACAATGCAGTTAGTCCATTATCTACTTGTGAGATTAATACTTGAGTTCATGAATGTGATACTGGGTACGATTATTTTACTTAAAGCAAAACACACATAAGCTTCCTGCCTACGTAAAGGAATGTAAATGAAAAAAATATTTAAAAAAGAAAAAAAAAAAAAGAGAGAGAGAGAACAATAAGAAAATGGCTTCAAGTATGTAGAAACTCATAAAACCCCTGAAGCAAACACATTTATTCATTTTCAGCTCAGAACAAATTACAGTGGAACAAATTACCAGTAAAATTTTTTCTTTTATCTGCTAGTAGAAAAGCAGATAGTTAGATAATTGTAGATATTTAAGAAATATACGATGAGTGCATAAAATTTAGTAAAACAATCATTTGGACATGGATGATCTTATGTCACAATACAATTATGGATCTCCAAAATTTCATATATCCATTTACAAGTGCACAAATAAATAAATAATAACTAAGCAAAAATAGTGAACTTTTCAGTAGTACATTTTAATCTTATTAAATATCCAACTATTTACAGAGGAAGTAGTTTAGCATTATTGCTACATGATGCCAAATCAATCCAATTATAATTACCCCATCATATGGAAGAATTAACTGTTGACAACTGAAACTACACAGATAATTTTTAAGCAAGGTCTACCAGTGAATAACAATTTGAAATTTCACATATACTTGAGAATGAATTCATTCACAAGCTCCCAACATTCTTTGCACAAAATATGACACCAACTGCATTCCAGGCATCATTCTGTACACTCTGTAGTGTGAGGTTAAAATGTTTAAGAAACATGAAAGCCACAGACACTCACTGCCAGGTATGTGAAGTGCATTGTGACAAATGACACTAAAGTTTGAATACGAGTGAGATTGTTCAATAAGGTAGAGAAAATATCCATGATAAATAGCAGGCACTCTTGATGGACCATCTGTAATCACTGACGATTTGGCACGATTGAGAATCAAATTTACACAAACAGGAAATATGAGCAAATAACATGCAGAAATGAAAACCATACATGAAGTGAAAATAAGTATGAATAACTGGCTATCATTCATAGGTAGCAGAGTTATATGCGGAGGATATCCAAATATTCATTGGCTGTTATAATAAATTTTAAATAGACAAAGAATTCATGCAGAAAAATTGAAAATTCAGAAAATAAAACAGAGATAAAGTAACAGAAACAGTATATTCAGAAAATAGAAACTTTATTAATTAATTAATTTATTTATTTACTTATGCATACATATTATTATAAAATGGATCTTACTAAAAAAATAACCCTCATAATAACCTAGTCATTTTAAAACCCATTAGTATTGTATGAGTGGGACAACAATTCTAAATCCCTTTCTAAATAGGTAAATTATTTCAAATTGGTTCTTAAGAAATTTGGTTTTAAAATACTTTTAAATAGAGATAACTGCAATTGTGCAAGAAAATGTCTTTAAATATAAACTATAATGGAGAAAACTTAGTTTTCATAATAAAAAATTTCCAGATTTACAGTTTTAACATAAATTTAATAATTGATATCTGATTTTTATAATTAAAATTAATTAAAAATAAACTCTAATATGTATTTATTTTCCTAAATTAAGTCCAAAATCTTGTGAAATTAACTTTTATACTGATCTATTTCTGATAGCACGCCTTTCATAACATTTTTCATAAGGAAGAGTTAACAGAGTCATTTCCTTTCTTGAAAGTTTTCTCTTTATGTAAAATAATCAAAATTTTAATAAGAATTTGAAACACACTTTTAAAAACACAGTATAATTGGTAAAAGGTATCTATCTGTTGTAAGTTTTAAAATTTCAGAAGATAAATTGTAAAACAGAAATTAAATGATGATTGAACTACAAAAGAGTGGAATGCAGTGTTTTCTTCTTTCTAGAGCAAAAGAATATTATTGCAACAAAAACTTACATCATTAAATAATAATTAATAATTACACAATTATAAGTTTATTTTTTAGTTTCACCTGATTAAACTTAAAATAAAAGGATTGGACTGCAACAGCTGCTTATGGCAAAGCACATTAGAGTTATCTGCCTAAGGGAAGGGATGCTCTTATGGAGGACTTTCTAAAGGAAACTGACTCATATTCATGTTAAATGTGGGAAAAACCATGAAAATGCTCAATTCTCTGGCCCACTGAATACAGGCTGATTTCTCAGCATTCAGTGGTCTTTATTTACTTGGTGGACTCAAAATGAAAGCTATGAAGCTATATTATTGATGAATACAGTAATTTTGTAATAAAGATTTATACTGATAGGTCATATTAAATAACACGAAAATATAAATAATAAGAAAAGCATAAATCAATATAAAATAATGTAAAATAAATGGAAAATAATACCCATTTTTCATACATACCTCTTTTACTAATTAATGAGTTTGATTGGTTTGGCAGTAATGTTAACTTGTCTCTATTCCTACTATCAACTTTTCTACGAAACTTATATGTAGGACGCTGAAATTTTTCATCTTTTTGTGTTAAAACAAGCTGATTTGGTGGTGGTGATGCCTCTGAAAGAAAATGCAACCACACGTTTGAAAATACTTTGCATAAGAATTATTACTACATGAAAACAACACTGAACAAAATCGTTTGCTGCAGGAATTTTAAATACTGAAATTCGTTTTTCTCTTACAGTAAACCATCATTATAAGACATTACAACTAGCGATAATTAGAACAAAATTCTAGTTGACTATCTTTGATATTCTAAAAGCAGTCAATTTAGCATTTTGAAGCTTTTCAACCAAGTATCAAGAATCCCAAGTTTTCCAAAGAAAAAACTTGGAGTACAGAAAAGTAGCATATTACACTCCCAATGCTTTAACCCCCCCTGCAACAGAAACTTAATAAACAGTTCTCTGCAATTTTCTCTTTTTACTTATAGAAACAGTTCATCCATCACCATGTTTCTAGAAGACTTGAATATCCCCATCAGATTAAGTTCTATTCAATATAGACTGAAATTCAGGATCCCTCATTATCTAATTTGAAGACTAACAAAACTGCTTTCCTTTAATTTTAAACTTCACTAACTTTGGAAACATTTATCCTCAGAAAATAAAAATCCTTTCCACTTCTATATATTTCTTTCACAACATTTTTCATTAAATTTACTGTACTGTGAAAACATGGTAAGTATACTTTATGGAGATGTACTTTAAGGTCTGAGAGAAACTTCATCCCTGGGATGGATCTCTCTCTTAGGACATAATACTAGCTATTTTTTTAGCTTTCTTTCCTGCCATTCATTTTACAACATTTCTGAATTTCTGGTGGTTATTTTGTTAAAACGTGCACATTCATTTTATCTTTTCTTTAAATATTATTTTTTATTTATCTTATGACTGATCAACTGAGACACAGAGAGAAATACTCAAGAAATTCGGGCTGATTCACTAATTTCAAAATGAGTGGCAAGAGACAACATTCCTTCGTAAATTATATTAAAACTGCCAAAAATGTTGAATTAAAAAATTATGAATGCTATGAATGCTAAAATTCAACAGCAAGCTGAAAGTGAAACTTATCCACAAACTTTATTTCTATAAGCACTTCTGATTTCAGTACAGAAACCTCTATGAACCCTTTACCTGAAATTAAAATCTCTTTCGAAGATGAAATATCAAACTGAATAAATCATAAATTAATTGACAAAGGAGTGGAAACTGGATTGTCTTCAAATACTTGGGATCCAACAGCATTGGAAATAATATGTATTTCCAGTTTCTTCATTTGGCAATGAAAGTATAAAAAGAAAATTTAAATATACATTATTTAAATACACTTGGCTGGCTTATTTTAAAATTAAAGATGGAGTACACTATAAATATTGCATAATTTGACAAAGGACGTACATGAAAATAAAACAAGCTTTAGGACAATTACTGAATGAGCCATTTCATAACAGCAAAAAATCTAATGAAAATTCTCTGAATAAACATTCTTTATTATGTGCTTATAATTTATAAATAACATTCTTGGCCATAAACAAAACATTGTTGATATTGCCAGTGCTCATTAAGCTAAAGATAGTGGCAAAAAACTCATTCCTATAAAATACAATCTTCTCTGGAAAAAAAAGTATTCCATTAGGTTATTTTGATTTTGGGCAAATAAATGTGAATGTTAATAATGTTGAATCTCATAAGAATGAAGAAAGTTTTCTTAAATTCTCTGATTTTGAGTAAATTCAGAAATTGATATATTAAAAAATCATTTAGAATCATGTAGCTACAGGGTGCATTCACAAAGTTTTTAAGACTGGTCTGAGAATACAAAATTTATGAAACATTTTTTTTTTACAGTGAAATAGTTGAAATATGCCCCTTGAGCATCTTCACACTGCTGCCAGCATTTTTTCCATCGTTCATAGGCTCCCTGAAAGTCTTTGAGCACAAGGCTGTGAAGAGATCTCGTCAAAGCCGCCTCGACCACTGGAATCATGTCAAATAGCTTCCCCTTCAGGTCTTTCTTGATCTGGAGGGAAAAAAAAAAAGTCATTGGAAGCGAGGTTGGGGTTGCAGGGCGGATGCAGCAGTGTTGCCATGTTGAACTTAGCCATGATTTCGGCAGTGGAGGGCAACATGCAAGAGGGCGCATTGTCGTGGTGAACAATCCAATCGTCTTTGGTGTCTGGGTGGACTCGATCCTTCAAACAGCCCGTCACTCCAGGGTAAAACTTACATATGACACTCTGTCCCTGCTTTTCACATGTGACTTGCTCAAGTGAGCCTTCTTGGGCTTTGGAGATTAGGGGGTGTGCCACTCTGCACTTTGACATTTTGTTTCAGGATCGTACTCATAGACCCAAGTCTCATCACCAGTAACCACTTTATCAAAAAAATTGGGATCATCTTGCAAATGTTGAAGCATTTCATCGTAAATAACCAGGCAAGGTGCCTTCTGTTCATCCATCAGAGCTTTGGGAACAAATTTGGCACACAGTTTTTCATCTTCAAAACTTCTGTCACTAACTTGTGCACTGTAGTCTGACCTAATTGCAGTTCATCGGCAATTAATTTAACACTAAGAAAATGGTTCATGTTTAAAACTCCATGTACTTTCACCAGATTTTCCTCAATTTAGCTTATTGAAGGTGTTCACTTCCACGCCTGCCGTATTAATTTCTACCTTTTCGTTGCCCTGCGTTGGCAACACGCTTTTGAGATTTGTCGTTCATAGGATTCGGTCGCTAAAAGCGTAGCTGGCCTGTAACTGTTGTAATTCTTATTTTATGCATCTGTACTCCTGAATTATTACTAAATGTTTACGTGTGAATGTTAAATCATTAAATGTCTTCAGTTTGATTTAAATACACCAAGAGTCGACTGAATTTATAAGTATGTTTAAAGTCGAAACTGCGTCATCCATGTCGGCGCCATTCTAATACGAGGTAGTAAACATCATTTGGAGGCACGACGACGAGATCAGATCAAGAATTTGTCAGCAGTTCAGTACAGATAAGTGATTTTTTTAGTTTGATTTACATCTAAATTTGATTCTTGAAGTTTTATATCTATTTTGTATTGATTTGATTTTGAACTTGAATACTTCGATTACTTATTATGGATCAAGCTACTGTCATTAATTGCAAGGTAGGGCAAAAGCGGCCTTCACAAGGCTTCAGAATCTATTTTTTCCGATTTATCTAAAAATGAAGTAATTTTACATCTGGAGCGCTTAGAAAGGATTATTCAGTTTTGACAAATTTGATGCCAATTACCAGAAGAACAGTCAGAAATTGAAGATTTTGAATCAAGGTATTTTGGTTGAACTTCAGTATCAAAATTTATTATGTATTAAATGCGGATGTGCCAAATTTACAGGAAATTCTAATATTAGTAACTTTAAGTTACCTAAGTTGAATATTCCTATTTTTCGGTAACTTTAATGCTGGATGAATTTTAAGATTTGTTTGTTGCACAGTGCATAAAACTTCTTTATCGAATATACAGAAATTTCAGTATTTTGCCTACAGTTCTCGCACTCACATTTTCCTCCAGTGGCGAAACTATCGAAATTAAATTATTATTGGATTCCGGAAGTGAAAGTTCGTTTATTTCTGACGAGGCTGTTCGAAGATTAGGATTAAAAAGAACAATCAAAGGTTACTTTTGCGTGGAATTGGCGAGTCCAGCTTCCCAAAACTCGTGGTTCTGTTGATTAAAGTTCGGTCAAAGTTAATAATCAAGTAATTGATGTTAACGCATACATTTTGGATAGGTTAACTTTGCCATTGCCCGGAACAAGTAATTAATGTAAAGCATATAGAATACATTAAATCTATTCCGTTAGCGGATCCGAATTTTGCTCAACCCAAAGAAATTGATTTGATTTTAGGAGCTGATTATTTTTTCTCCGTTTTAAGATGTGGCCAAATATATGGTTCGAAAAATGAGCCTGTAGCTCAAAATACAATTTTCGGTTGGGTGATTGCTGGGAAAGTCGGAATTAATATGGAAGGCCCAAAAACAGCAAATGCACACTTCATAAAGTTAGAAGATAATATAAATATTGATTACGAACTTAAACGTTTCTGGGAAATGGAGGATATCGTCGATGTTGGGAAAAAGGAATTTCTGACACCTGAGGAACAATTTTGTGAATCACATTTCAAAACACTCATGCTGTTAATTTCAGATGGGCGATTTGTTGTAAAACTTCCATTTTATAAATCGCATTTGAAGTTGGGTGATTCAAAACCGACAGCAATTTCTAGGTTGCGTTCCATGGAACGAAAATTCAAAGATAATCCGGAATTTGAAAAACAGTATAAAGATTTCATACATGAATATGAACAGTTAGGACATATGACTGTGATTAATGATGATTTATCTAACAGATCGGATATAGAAAAGATTTATCTTCCTCATCATGCGGTAATTAAACCTTCTAGCACAACGACAAAATTAAGAGTAGTTTTTGATGCATCCTGCAAATCTGAAAATGGTATATCATTGAATTCTCTTTTAGGGGTAGGTCCGAAATTACAAAGGGATATTTCTGAGATTTTGATTAACTTTCAATTTCCTAAAATTGTTTTCACAGCCGATGTGGAGAAGATGTATCATCAGGTGATGGTAGCCCCTGAAGATCAGAATTATCAATTGATACTTTGGCGATACAATTCCAGTGATAAAATGCGCACGTACAAGTTGAAAACAGTTACTTATGGTCTTTCCTCTGCTTCATTTTTAGCAACTCGATTCTGAAGCAGGTAGCTTTAGAGTCTAAAGAGGAATCAGGTGTATCTTGTATATTGCAAGAGGTTATGTATATGGACGACTTATTGTCGGGTGCAAATACAGTTGATGATGCAGTGTTTGTCTGCAAGAAAATATCTTTAATTTTACATGCACGTGGTTTTGATTTGAAGAAGTGGAATTCAAATTCTGCAGAATTCTTAACTGAATTTAAGGAACATTGTTAATTGAATTCTGATTTTGAGATATCTCCTAATTCGAGTTCGAAAGTCTTAGGACTTTTTTGGAATTCAACTACTGACCTTC